AGATAACAATGTCATTAAATCTCACTAAGCAAAATATATTTTCTGGAAGCAACTAATTTTGACTCATACTCAAAGAATAAAAGTATTCACAGTGAGAGATGGAATAGGGATGGGGCAGAGAGGAAGTTCTTAACAAAAACTGCGATCATTAGGAGAGAGACAATTGCAGTCCAAGAAAGATGAATAAACAAATATCGTTTAGTTGGGCAGGATATAGTTGCAAATTAATGCAGACGGAAGTGACACACTATGACACAATAAAAATTATTCATCAATGGACTAATTCAGCAAGGAGTATAATATATTGAAATAATCTTAAATTGGTAAGCACTATGAGAGATTTAGATAGGAATATTAGATTTAAAAGACATTAAAGTGCTTTGCTTGATATATTTCACTAAATAAATAAAGATACCTGGGGAGATGCCATAACTTGTTAGTGGTAGAGCCCTGGTGATCAAGCCTCTAATCTAGTACTATTTTTATAATACCAGTCAAATCCCAGGAAACGCCCTATCATCTGTTCACCTTCCCAGTTGCAGCCATGCGACACGCTGGTAGTTAATGTTTCTCTGTATTACTAATAACTCCCTAGGCCATAACAGACACACCCAGGAACACTGACTCAGGGAGGAAACAAGACCTGAACTCAGGAGAGGCGGCAGTACAGAGCACCTCAGGAATTACTCTGCCCTAATTCTCACTAGACTTTTGCTTATGTATCTTCTTGATTTTATATTTCACAAGACTGATTCACATCTCAGAGAAGCAGCTAGCCTAGAATTGGGAAACAGAGAGGCAAATAGCATTCTGGTTAGACATTTACATATTCAAAACTATCAAAAGTTATAATGCATGGATATCTACCACTGAGTGCCTAGAAAAAAAATTACTTTCATGAAAGATGACTTTAGAGTAATTAGAGAGGATACTTTCACAAGAGGTATTCATAGTAATTAGGAATACATGCATATATCATCTTGGTAACAACTCTTGAGACAAATAATTATCTGGGAAAGTCTTGCTAGACGCTATCAGACTTTACAAAGTTGACCCAAATATGTCAACCGCATGGTGAAAAATAAAAATAGGTTAGAAAAAGGGCCAGTAAATAAAAATATGGCCCTTGTAGGGCACAAGTAAGATGTTACCTGCAATTGGATTTTCCCAAAGGAAAATTCTCAAATAAAATATAAACATACATTAAAAAAAAAGAAATTAAAAAAAGCAAAGGGAAAAAAAAGCAACCCTCTAAACAACTTCTAAGTGACAAGGGACAAAAATAAAAAAAGAATCAATAACAAATCTATGATTTTCTAAAATATTATAAAGACTATATTCTTCTTTTAAAAGCAAATAATTTAATGATTATATTACTTAAAGTAGAAATTGTGAAGGTTAAGAACATAACCTCATTTAAATTGGAGTTAGGAGGGCCTACAGGGGAGTTCTCATGCACTACCTCTCCTTGTCAATCCCATCTCTAACAGGAAGATGTTTTTCTCCTACTATTCCAGCAGGAAGAGGGATTGTCTCCTGACCCAGCAACCACTCAGCCAATGAGAGACTATTATAATTCAGCCAATGAAAAGCCACTATACTTCGAACTCTCATTTTCCTCCAATGGACTCTATTTACAACATCCCCTCTGAGTCCCCCATTCCCTCTATAAAAACATATTTGTCTCCTTTGTACTCTGAATTTGTGCATGGTTTGCCATTAGACCATGTGTCCCAAATTGCTGTGCATTTCTGTCCCTGAATAAACCCATTTTTGCTGGAGAAATCTGGCTATCTATTTAAGGTCAACCCATCAAATGCATATAAATTAGTGAAATTCAAAACCAAAATATTTCCAGTAAAGATAAATAAGATATAGTATCATTTTTATTTACTTTCTCAAGGGATTAGAATGTTGACTTGGTGGTTATGTTCAGACTTCAGATGTCTGGATTGATAGGAAACTTGCTTTTGGATTCTTTTTATTATTTTAAGATTTTTCAATAATATGGCATTTATATTCAGAGTTTCTTATCTCAATTGCAAACGGAACAGTGAAAATGGATTTAAATTTTTCTCTGAGATGGCTTGCTGGTTCTGTTTGCTGGTTTAGAGCCTACTTGTTTGACCTCAGACCTCCAGTTGCATAATGTTGATTACCAAAAAATATATCCCTGAGAAATTTGAGGGCATGGAACTTTCTTCTAGCTATTAAAATACAGAAAACAGTTCAAAATCAGAAAGTTTATCCTGATAACTAATAGGCTTCCACTGACTCTGAAGGATTACAAGAAACTAGCTTATCTGCTAAGCAAATGATAGTCATGAAAACTATGCTTTATCTTTAAAAAGCAACGTGTTCTGACAAGCTTTAATTTCATCATAATATTTGCTCTTATTTAAAATGATCACAGGAGCTTGTCCAGTATGGGCTAGTAAATAGTCTAAAATCTTGGAAAAGAGGGTCAATAAACTCAAAAATCTTTAAAATAACAAAGATCTTAAAAACCCTATCTAATAAAAGACAAAAAGGGTAATTGACTATACCTTTGCTACGCTTCCCATTGGCTAAAGGGTGATATGCAAATTAACCACCAACAAAGATGGCAGTTAATTTGCATACTAGGCTCCAAGCTGTGGAGGGAAGCCAAATGTACCCAAAGCCTGCCGAGCCAGGAGGCCTCGGGATCAGCGGAGCTGGGAGGCCTCATGGCCCCAGGATGGGAGGAGCCTCGAGGCCTCATGGCCCTGGGATCAGTGGAGCAGTGAAGCCTGACGGCTGGGGGCGTGGGGGGGCGCTCTGGCCGGAGCCCAGCCTGAGCGAAGGCCTGGGTCCCGGGTGGCAGAGGAAAACTGGTGCCAGCAGCCAAGGGAAGGGAAGGCCTATTGCACAAATCTCTTTGTGCAACAGGCCTCTAGCATTTAAATAAATATAGTGACATGAAGACAGTTCCAAAAATACTTCAGAAAGATATATTCCATCCATATTATAGCTCATGTGACCTCAATATTTATTGCAACTGGGGAGAAACTGATCCATTCTTCAATGCTTTGAAGGGGAAAACAACACTAAGTTACCTATTATGATATACATTCAATTGCAATGTTATTATGATATACATTCAATTGCAATGTATGCAATTTGCAGAGTTAACATAATTATCTCTGCAAATTCAATAAAGGTAAAAATTCTTTCTTATTTTATGTCACTTTGATTTGGTGTAAGAGAAACATAACATTATACCACAGTTTCAAGTTCCCCAGCTCATTAATGCACATCAGAGTTCCCAGCAGACAATGACCAGGCAGAGACTATATTACTTTCAGAGTTTCTCTAAATAAATAGCTGCCACATTAAAAAGAATATATATCTCAAATGGTCCTGATTAGTGTTCAGTTTCCAGTTAGTGCTAGCCCAAGAACTCATAATACCTCCTCAATTTCATTTTGTGTCACAGAAGTACAATGCCCCATAGCAAACTAGCTGTGGTGTAGGTTGATGAATTCTAAGGTTACTCTTCACTAATGTATTTTTAATTTTCAGTTAACCAAACAGTGGTTCAAAAATATATTGTGTCCCCAAACAGAAATTAGCGCATGTTGGTACTTGAAATTTTTTATTTTACCTTTGCAAGGACTCATATGTATCCTTGACTTTTGCTCTGTAGTTTTACAAAATACAATTGTATAATTTTTTCACAAAAAAAATTGGAGCATAGGAGAGTACAATTTAAAAAATACTCATGGTTCAATTTGGGAAATTGAACTGATAGTTCAACTCACTCAATAAAAGTTTGGATACCTACCGTGTGCCTGATTCTATAGCTAATTTTTAACAATTGAAATAGATTAGTCTTTCTTTAATGTAGTTCTGCTAAAGGAGTTAACACAGCAAAAACGTCAAGTTATTTGAGAGGTTTGGGGGAAAAACATCTTACTTTTGCAAAGCCTACATTTGACATCAGCCTCAGAACATTGTGTCTCCCTGACATGATTGCAAAGCTTTTAGTTGCTTCTCCTACAATCTACAGTGCCTTGTAGATTTCAGGGATCTTGGTTTTACATAGTTCATAAATGCACACATTTCACATATTTCTGTAGCTTACTGACGTGGAAGAAAGCAACTCCATGTATGTGTACACCCTAAGGACCTTTTTAGATCTAAATTTATTTATTATATAGTATCTCTAACTAAGAACTAGACACTTTATAGCTTAAAAACCCATAGTTTTTTTGTCCATACACTTAAAAATACTAGAGTGATCTCAAGAAACACTTTAGAAAATTTTGTTATAGTCTCCATAGTGCCTATCATGGCGCTGAATACATAGATAACTCTCAGTAACTTCTATTTAATTAATTTAAAGAAAATTTGTACAGTTTAATATGAGCTCTAAAATAGAGTTTCTGAGATTTATAACCCAACATAAATATTTAATAAAGAAGACCAAGGCCCCAAAAGGGAAGTACCTCAGGACCTTCCTTCAGAACTTTACATGATCATGCCTGATTTTATACCATTTCCCCACAACTCAGGAAATAAGTAAGTAAATCTATGATTTATGTACCAGCGTAAACCATATCTACAGAAAAAATTAAGGCACAGTCCTATTAAAAACAAAGAAATTTTCACCAGATTTACCAAAAACATATCTCTTTTCAGAGATTAAGGAAAATTTAAGTGTTCTGAACTTTATAAATATGTCAAATCATCTCATTCACAGTCCCTAGATCTTAGCCTTCATAGACATATGGTCTCCTGTGTGTACATATATTATGAAGAGAATGAAATCTCTACCATTAGCAGGGACCTCACAACTCTCTCAGATATTTGCAAGATATAAAAAGTCCAATCTTCCCATGTATCCATATGTATATTTCCTGAAAATAACAGGCATGGTTCATACATATGGAGAATATTTTAACATGCAAATGTGGTATACTATTCTGGTGCTTTCCCACAGTTTCAGAGTTTTCATTTAGAAATAGAAATAGTATTACCTTTCTGGCGTCTTTTATCATTTTCCGAATAGTTTCCTTAATTGTAAGTAGCTGTGCTCTCGGTGGATGAAAGAGGAGGTCTATGTGGGTACCCCCTAAGAGTCCCGGCATCACATATGGCCAGCCTAAGTCGAGGTCTGGAGCTTCCACATCAGATTCAATGGGCCAATAAGTCCCTGAAGATGAGGTATCATCGCAGGAATTGTCAGTACCATGGGTTGTACTTTGTGCAATTTTCTGGACATTTTTCAAAATATAATTAATTTCTTCCTCAGCTAGAAAGTCTGATACTCGCTCCTTGGCAAGAAATTCCTGATATGCTTCTAGCCCATGTTCAATCAGCGTATCAATGGCTACACGATACCATTCCTTGTAGTGAGGCTCAATGTAATTGTCAGATTTACACTCATCATTCAATGAGGACAGCAACGACGAAGTCTCCATGCTGGCAAGTGCTTGACAACAGCACTGTCAAATGTCCATTTGTGCAGCAGCAAGAGGTATCTGGGTGTTTGAAAAGGAGAAAATTAAGATCAGTTAGTGCTCTGTAATCAAAGGTTTTATAACCCATGTCAATTATTAGTTTTTACATTTACTCATTTCCATGACCTGTAGGTTAATATGACATACATTTCATATCAAAAGTGGCATTAATTGCACTATAATTCAAAAGCTACCACAAATAGATTTTTTTACAGACTTCCTTGATTTTCCATTTCCAAGTCCTCTACTTCCAGTTTTTCACCTAAGGAAATACACATTTCTTCTCTGACATCCAGAGAGTCCATCCTTCTTAGCTTTAATCTGATACTACACACGGTAGCATCAGTTTCTATAAGCTTATTTGATTCTGGTTTCAATACACATATAATAAAATCAGTACCAAGCCAGCCAATAATGTAAGTCTTCACTGAGTACTTGTTATGCATATAATCACATACTGATGAAACATAAAAAGCACAAAATACTTGCTTTCCAGGAATTTAGTAATTATCAGAAGAGGCAAAATGCACACACAAAGCTGTTTGTTACCGCTTTGAACACAGCCATATATTGCTAAGGGCCAAAATGAGTACTGCCTGCTGTCAATGCCTTCAGATAAAAGCAAGCAGAAATCTAAATGGAATACAGGAGTTATGGATATCCCTGTGTGGGGCGTGGGCTTCAGCTGAACCTGGGGTACTAAGTAAGAATACAATCACGTGGTAAGAATGAATATTTTCCCACACAAGACTGAAAAACACACAAAAAGCCCAGAACAGGTATGAGCTTGTACATTCAGGACTTAGTGAAAAAACGTGGTCTGCTAGAAAGCAGGTTCCTTTGAGTAGGAGTAGGAGATAACGCTGAATAGACACAACAGAGCCAGGTGTGGAGGGACACAGGAGATTTCTGTGACTCAACAAAACTTGTGTTTAAAACAATTAGTCTGGCAGTGGGGAGTGGAGGAGAGACAAGTATCTAGTCTTTCAGCATTCAAATACCCAGTGAAGAAGCGACAAGTGTATTCAAGAGATGATTCAAAGAAAGAACTCCTGGGTTTTGATCGTTTGATAACGTAGAGATAGTGAAGAAATTTAAGACATTAAGTTAATTCAGGGATCTCTCCCAGGAATCAAAATCTTCCCATTCAAGCTCACACCTCATCCTTCACAAAGCCCCACAATGTTATGCATTCAATCACTCAGTGTGTGAGATACTGGATTAGACTTTATCTCATTCAAATAAGGGCCTTTCCAGGTTTTGAAATTATGATCTCCATTGTGTGGATTGAAATAAAGTACAACTTGATGATGTGCTACAAGTCCCAAAGGGCTAATTTGACCAAAAACATCTTTGTCAGTGGCCTGGCCCTAATTTCATTTATTTTTCGTTTTTTAAAAAATTTTAAAAAGTTTCCAATTACAATTGACATACAATATTATGTTAGTTTTAGACATTTATATAACTTACAAAGTAATCACTCGATATGTTTAGTACTCATCTGAAGCCATACATAGTTATTAGAATGCAGGGTGGGGCAACATTAGGTTTACACGTTTTCATATGGAAAGCCTGGCCCTAACTTTATTTATTTATTTTTTAAAAATATATTTTATTGATTTTTTACAAAGAGGAAGGGAGAGGGATAGAGAGTTAGAAACATCGATCAGCTGCCTCCTGCACACCTCCCACTAGGGATGTGCCCGCAACCCAGGTACATGTCCTTGACCAGAATCGAACCTGGGACCTTTCAGTCCTCATGCTGACACTCTATCTACTGAGCCAAACAGGTTAGGGCCTGGCCCTAACTTTAAATTGTCTACTGAACTCAGCCTTTTCAGACTCAGGACTACCAAATTTCAAATCAGATTTGGGAGGGTAACCTAGGAACCATTACCATTTGTTTATTCCTTAGCTCACAATATATAACAGAAGCCACTAATCATACAAAAAAGTTGAAAAGAAATGGACAATAGGGACACAAGTTTCGTTGGGCAGGAAAGGACCAAAAATGATCCAGCATTTACTAAGCAGAGCTGAGGAGCAAAATTAAGAGTCCACTTTACTATTTCAGCGGAGACGATCCTTTCTCCATCTCTAGGCTCAAAATTTCCCCTGTCACTCTAAAAATATCAAGAATCTAAAGATTAAATCTGACGTAAGAGTAAAGACAGAATATGTCCATGCTACTGGCATATACTGGGTAGAGGCCAGGGATGCTGCTAAACACACATGACAGCCACCCATATTAAGGAACTAACTGGGCCAATATGTCCAGGATGCCAAGGTAATCTTCAACTTGCCCACTTCATACGCATGGCATCATACTACTAATTAATGACCTTTCAATGTTCATTAAAGTTCTGTTACATGTAGTATCCATTTGTAACAAAGAAAAAAAGGTTTGTATCTACTTAACAGAATCAATCCATTTGACTAAAGGATACTTCCCTAAGGTTTAGTGAGGTGTGATTTTCATTTGGTAATTCTAGCCCATGACAGGACAAGCATCCAGTGATTACATGAAAATCACATGTATTATCATGAAAATCAAATGATAAGTAACTGCTGGTTGTTAAAACACACACACACACACACACACACACACTATGTTTTCCTAGCACTTATTTCTTAATTTTAAAAATTTAACTTTTGAATTCCCATAACATGTGGTATTAAAAACCCATTACCTATTTGGAAGTTAAAGTGCATAAAGTACTTTTAAAAAATGTGTTTGTTTTTGAGCTTCATCTATGCAAAATATGCTTTACTACTGTAAAAAATTATTTCTTGAACTATGGGTAATCCAAGAAATCAGAGGGCAAGAGAACTATAAATACAAAATAAAACCACAAAGACATAGTTGAAAAGTTAATCATGGAAGATACAATTGAAAATGAGAAAAAAGCAAAACATTATGGGCCTAACCAAATAGCAATGCCAGATACAAAACCGAAAACTACATGATAAAAAAAAAAAAATGCAATAGCCCTGGGCATGGAAGTTGAGATAGCCTGTACAAGGGTTAAGATAAGAAATAAATACACTTGATATTGTCCTGCTAAAGAAGTAATACTCTGACCACTGTCTAGAGTTATGCATAAATTTGCATTTCTAGAATAACCAAAAACATACCAAAGGCTGTTTTGTTTAGGAACAAGCTACAAAGAAATTTTAAAGGAGAACAGCAAGGTAATGGCACTTGCATGAATGGGTACTGCAATAAAATAGCACTTGTATTTAGACACAGAATTAATATTGAACTCTTGAGAGTTCAATCACTGAACATTTGAAGGGCTTAAATTGAGAACAAAAATTAATTGGGTATACTTTTAGACATATAAAAGCACATTATTTTATTAATAACCATTAAATACTCCTAAAAAGTACATGAACATATATGATAGAGTTAATGAGTAGAGAAAAATAAAATCTTGCTATGATGGAAAAGCTGAACAAACTGCTAGGCTCACCTACTAGTTAAGTGACTCATTCCAGAAAAATAGTTTTGTATAGAAAGAGCTCACATCCATGTCCCAAAACCATTACAGATTGCACTTGATATTAAATGTTTAATGTCATTTTTGGAAAGTATAATTTCCAAACGTTGAATATGTAAGTACAAAGGATACAAAACAAAGTATAAAAAAATTAGATTTCAAAACAGTTTGGCAGTTTCATTTATAAAATTAAATATGCAAATGCCATGTGATACAGCAATTGCACTCTTGGAATTTATCCCAGAGAAATAAAAAAACTTACCTTCACTCAAAAACTGTCCATTAATGTTCTAATGGCTTTACTCGTAATAGCCCCAACTAGAAATAACTCAAATGTCCTTCAAGAGGTGAATATGAAACAAACTGTTGTACACTCATTCTACAGAATACTAATCAGCAATAACATGAACAAGCTATCGATCCATGTTATAGTCGCCCTAGATGGATAGCCAGAGAATTGTGCTGAGTAAAAAAATAAATAAATAAATAAATAAAAATCAATCCCCAAAGATTAGATGCTACATGATTCCATTTATATAATATTCTTGAAATGACAAAATTATAGAAATGGGGATCAGATTAGTGGTTGCCAGGGTTTACCTCACTGAGTCATTCTAAGAAAGGTGTGTAGAGGAGGGAGAAAGAAGTTACTCCAAAAAGGCAACAGGGATGATCTTTGTGGTGATGGAAATGGTCTGTACCTTGACAGTATCAACATCAATGTACTGGTTGAGATATAATATTATGGCTTTTGCAAGATGTTACCACTGGGGGAAACTGAGTAAAAGATACAAGGAAGCCCTAGATGGTTTGGCTCAGTAGATAGAGTTGGCGTCTGGACTGAAAGGTCCCGGGATCGATTCCAGTCAAGGGCACATGCCTGGGTTACAGGCTCAATCCTAAGTAGGGGGCATTAAGGAGACAGCCGATCAATGATTCTCTCTCATCATTGATGTTTCTATCTCTCTCTCCCTCTCCCTTCCTCTCTGAAAGCAATAAAAATATATTTTTTTAAAAAGATACAAGGAATCCAACTGAAATATTTCTCTCAACTGCCTGTGAATTGACAATAATCTCAAAATAGGAAAGTTTAGAAAACAAATACTAATGAGCAATTTCATGGACCTTGAATAGAAAAACACACACAATATATGGAATCGAGAGTGAGAGCTTATTTGTAGGGTCAGCCTGCCAGGTTCCAAGCCAGCTTGCCCAATTACAGTGAAGCTCTTGGACGGGTCACCTATGCCCAAAGCCTGGGTTTGGTCATGTGTAGAAAGAATAACAGCAGTCTTCACCTTACTGAGTCATTGTAAAGAGTATATGAGGTAAATCACTTAAAGTAAATGCTATTAACTTTATTATTTTACATTTAAACAACCTATTAAAGTAAAATTGCCATAAAGACATAAAAATGTTTGATCATAAAGGTTTCTTTTAAGATTCAAAAGAAGATAATGATTCTGTCATACCATTAGCATTGTCACTCGCTATTTCAGCAACTGAAGTATTGAATAAACA